CATTCTTAATGTCTGAGATTGGGTGAGAGGAGTGCTGCTGTAGGGGGGTGAGGTGAGTCCCCCCTGCAGTCTCAGTGGAGAAATTGGGATAATCAAAGGGAAAATTCTGCAAAAAAAGATGTCCTTTTGGTGGGGAGGCCCTGGCATGGACTATCCAGAGAAGCTGTGGCTTCTCCTGGATCCCTGGAAGTGTCCAAGGCCAGGTTGGACACTGGGGCTTGGAGCAACCTGGGATAATGGAAAGTGTCCCTGCCCATGGCACAGGTGTGGAATGAGATGAGTTTTAGGATTCCTCCCAAAGCAAATGTCTTAGGTTGCAAGACGTGGCAGGGGGTGTGTGTTCTATTCCCATCTGTCAGAGCTGGGGCAGTTCTCCTCTGTTCATGGGGCAGTTTTCTTTATCTCTCCCACAGCCAATCCTCCCTCCAGGAGATCTCTGCTGTCCATGGCCACTGAGTGTCCCTGCAGGGCTGATCAAATTCCAGCATCCCATGGGGAGATGCTCCGCCCAGGGGAGGAGCCAAGCATTCCTACCTGGATACAATCTGAGCCTGGAACAGCACAGCAGCCTTTGCCCACTGCATTCCCAGAGGAGCAGCTTTCTCCTGCCCTGCATTCCCAGAGGAAGAGCAGGCCCATCTCCAGCAGCCCTGGAGCTGCAGAGGAAAACTGCAGCCTTGTGCAGGATCCCTGCTCCAGCAGAAGCACAGCTGGCACTGCAGGAGGGCTGAGCCCCCATGGGATGGGACTGTGCCACCACAGCTCCTGCTCTGACCTGGCAGCTTTTTTTGGTATTACTGCACTTTTATTTTTATATTTTCTTTTATTTTTCCCCTAATAAAGAACTGTTATTCCTGCTCCCATATATTTGCCTGAGAGCCCCTTAATTTCAAAATCCTAATAATTTAGAGGGAGGGGTTTACATTTTCCATTTCAAGGGAGGCTCCTGCCTTGAAGGCAGACACCTGTCTTTTCAAAGCAAGACACCAAACCATCCTGGAACTCCATGTATCTCTCTTTTAAACATAAAAGAAGCAAAGACTAGCATACACCAGTAACTAGACTTCCATGTTGTTAAAAATAGGTTATTCCTGTTTACCCAAATTTGATTTTATAGGCTCAGTTTATACCTGGGAGAAACATGAATATTTTCTTTGCCCTTAGGAAGGGAGCAAGCTTAGTCTTAAACCTGCATTTTAGTGAATAAAAATCAGGGTTGTTCTCCTTCTCCTGCTAAAGAAACAGAATTGAAATTGAGTTGAGGTGGCCAGAGGAAAGCAAGAAAAGCAATGAATAATACAATGCATAAAACAATTTCTGAGACAAGAACAGCTGGTCTGTCAACTCTTTAGAGACTATTAATAGGAATGAAGATTTCATTGTGTGTCACTGGGAAAAGCAACTTCCCTTAGGTTGGGAAAAATAACTTGCTTATTCTTGAATAAAATACAATGGAAGTAGAGAAGGGATTGCTGACAGATTTGGTTTTTTTCAATGCTGAAAAGATTGAAGGAGTTTATTTTTAAAGGAGTTAAATGATATATTTGTGGAAGATGAGTACAAGTCAGATATGTTTTTCAAATTCACCAAGTGCTTTAGATACTTGGATGAAATTAAGTTTACAGATCAAACAGGTAGGACAGAATCCATGTAATCCAAGGGTCTGTAATTCTTGTCTTTATTTTGTGTCCCAGGTGTCCCTGGGGCCAGGCCGAGGAACTGTAACAGAATATGGGCACATATGGAGTCAGAGCCCCAGGACATGGCAGGAGTCAATTTTATCCAAGAAAAACAGTGAGGAGATAACACAGGGAGGGCTTACAGAGAACATCAGCTGGACAAATTATCCTCATGCAGCTCCAGGCACTTGTCTGATATTTAGAGCCTTCCCTTTTTAGTATCTCAAACCCAGCCTTTTGCCTTCAGTTGTTTGATTTCCCTGCTCTCACCCCTCTGTCTCAAACACCCCACAGAGATCACTGTCAGGAATAAAACCTCCAGCATTTTTTTATACTCTCCTTTTTCTAAAGACCGTGAAGTTTTGCTGTTAATTAAAGTCACAATATGTTTCTCAGTAACACCATGTTCTGGCTGAGCACTGAATTATGTACTCTGTAATTGCAGCCTCCTTCTCATAATCCCAGGGCTTTTTGTTTTGCGTCTTTAGTCAGATTTGTCAAAAGAGTGTTCAGAAATGTCAATAAATTCACCTTTATGCTCTGGCTGATGGCTCATGCTGCAGTGTGGGGCTGAGGCACCCCATTTTCCAGCCTGAAGTGCTGCTGGACGAAATTCAGGTGTGTTTCGGGAAGATTTTTATTATGAAAAACCCATTTTCAGGTAACATATGGTATCAAAACCCCATTCTCCAGCTTCCACAAAGGTGCTCAGCAGCTCAGCAAATGTCAAGTAATTTTCATTAAATGGCACCAATTGATTCAGAATATCCATGAGGGGGATTAGGAGGAATCTCAGGTCTGTTGCCTCATTGATTAAGTTTCATACCAACACAATGGCTTGTTGTTGTTAACAAGAGGAGGTTTTTATGCACATCTGTTGAATTCTGAGCCCAGGTTGATGTTGTGGAGCAGCAGGAAAACAAAGGTGGTTCTTATCTTTGATTAGTTATCCTGTAATTTTTTGCAAAAATAAAATAATAATGCTTAGTTAGAGACAGCTTAGCAGGCAAGGATCTATTTTGTGACAAAAAGCAGCAAAATGCATCAGAGCATATGAAAATATTATGAGAAATAAGTATGATTTTTTTCCCCTGCATTTTTTATTATTGGAGCTTTGGGTACATACAGAGAAACTTCAAAAAGTAAAATGAATAAAGCAAATTAAAATGATGAATAGAAATTAGGTTTTAGAATAAATATAGTTTTAAGGATCTGTTTAAAATAATGAAGGGATGTGAGAAGACTGAGGAAATCGGAGACTTTAATGTAGGTGAGGTTTATAACATTAACTACAGTGAGATGTTTCAAAAATCCAATAAAAACAGACTTGATTTCCTTATTAGGATGGAAAAATATTCTTACAAGAGGAATTTCCAGGTAATTAATTTAAATCTCAAGGATGGGAACATGGACTGCTTTTTTGATCAGCTGGAGATGAGATAGGAAAAGCGGATGGAGGAGACAAAATGTATGAGAAAGCAAATATTGAGAGATCAGGTCTGCTCCATCAGGCAAAGCTTTCTCCTAAAAACTGCTTGCAAATACTCATACCAGAAAACTACATTCAAAAAATACAAAAAAAAAGTGGTTCACACTTGGATTTGCTCCAAGTTGATGGTGATGACCTAAAAACCCTCATTTAAGTGACCTTCAAGATATTAAATAATAGAATCCAGGTGAAATATTGGAGGCTGGGATGACACACATGTTCTTTCAGTGGCATTTTTGTGTTTAGAGTGTGGCTCCTGAGAGCAATTCCCTTTGAAGCACAAATTCCTGACCGTGAAATTTGAGTTGTGAGAGGAGAGGGTTGGGGCCAGAGCTCCATCCCCTTGACCCAAATTATTCTCTGATCTTGGACATTTGAGTTGGTTGAATAAAGTTCAGCAGGGATTATGAACTGTTCCTGTCCTGGGGGTGTTTGAGAGGTCTGCACTCTGCATTTTTCTTTGCATTAGAAGTAGAAACTGCCTGACACTATGTGTTGCCTGCCTTGTAATGGGATCCTAAAAATTATTCCAGTGTGACAGGAACCACCTTGCTCACTAGTGAAAGTGGCCACAGTCTTAACTTATCCATTACAGATGGGGAAAGAGTCAAAATCAGACTTAATTTATATATATATATTTTTCTAAGTTTTAATCTCTTTATTTTCTCACAAATCTGATTTTTGGAGTAACATCTGAGGCTGTGCAGGTCAGGAATCAGGTGCCATTTTGCAGTAATGAAAGACAAACATATAGAAAAGAGCAGATTAAATGAGAATTTGGTCACAAATGTTATATATTGTATATCTGAAATATTTAGGTGGAGCTGGAGAACCAGACACAGGACTTGTAGGAGAGCTGTACACATATGGAAAAAGCTGCAAAAATAATTATTATTTTTTTTTCTAGTGGCATTGAATTCCTGTTTTGGGGTAACTTAAACAAGGCCTGAATTTCCTCTCACTGTATAGAACTTACGTGCTTAACACCACTGGGAAGTAATGAATGATAAACAGGATATGAAACAGCAGTTCGGTCTTACCAAGGAAAGCTGCTTTGGCCATGTTCATAATTTGGGTACTGTCAGGCCCTGAAAATATTTTGGTGCAATATTCAGTGGTGCAAAAGCCAGAGCTGGTGCCTGGGCCCTAAGAACCTGACACTTAATTTTTTTTTTTCCCCCAAACAATCTAATCTGTAGGCAAGAAAAGCTTGAACTTAGCACCAAGAAATAAACCTGAACCCAAGACACCTTTATAATACAAGGGCCAAAAAGATCTTGTGCAAGTTGTGGAGGAAATTCTGCCATTGCACAAAATTTTCTGTCTGAGAGGAGGGGGATGCCAAAACCCAGAAACTCCATCTCTAAGAGTCCCAAAGGGAATCCCACACTGCCAGACCCAAATCCTTGGAAAACCAGGAGGGGTGAATGCAGCACAGAGAATTCCTGCTTCCCAAACCACCCCAAAACCCACACTGGTGTCCCAGCTCCCTGCTTTGCTTTTTTCTGGGACATGTTCATCATTTTGCACTGGCCAGGTGCACGGAGGTGAATCCAACACTGCGGGGTATTGGTTTCTCTGGGTCTGGATTGAAGGCACTTGAGGTGGTATTTCATGTTTTACTCAGGTGTTTATTATTTCTTATCAGTCAAACAGACTCAAAACTGTGAATTTGGCAGCGAGGCACAAAATGGCTACAATCTCTTGTTCCAAGGTCTTGTAAGACTAAACGGGGGGGGATGCTCAGGGAGCTTCGGGGCTCTCGGGGCGGGCCTTGGGCAGGTGGGGGCGGGCAGAGCCTCGGCTTTTGGCAGCATCACAACAGGCAGAGGCAGCGGCAGGAGCCGGCGGCTGCTGCGGAGGATGCGAACTTTGCGCTGGCTGCTGCTCCCGCTGGTGAGTGAGAGCCGCTGGGGCGGGGGGAGCGCACATCTGGAGCCCGGCCACAGCTGGATGGCTCCGCTGCTGCCCCACTGCAGCTGGGGTGGGGGAAAGTCCGCAGGAGCTGGGTAACTTTTGTCCTAATGGGGAGCGGGCAGAAAGAAAGAAAAACAAGGAAAGATTAAGAAGAAAAAATATAAAATGAGACAGAGATGTTAGAGGGAAGGAAGGAAAAAAAATATCCCTGAGTAAATGTGTTGACCAAGCTCCTTTCGTTAAAATTTCCCAGCCTCGAGATGCTGTTAATAAATGACTTTTCCATTCTTTAGAAGTGCAGTTTGCAGAGGACAGAAGAGCATCCCCAAATCAGAATGGCTGTAGCAGGGCTTTAGACAGACAGAAGGGGACAGGTTGCTGTCCCAGCTGTCCTGAGAAAGGCAACTTTGCAGGACAAGGAGGATAGCTAGAAAGGAATAGTTTCTCATGATGGATAGGGACAGTTACCTCTCTCTGAGAGGGCAGGGATGTTTTCAGAGCTGGAGTTTTCTAATATCACGAAGCAGGAGCATGAACTGTCTCGTGTCTGCGTGCACTGAGGGCAGCAGGTGAGCCTGTGCCACTGGACATCAGGGAAGATGGATGAGCACAGGGACACAATCCAGGCACAGCCATCCCTCCCTGATCTCCACACTCCACTACTGGCATTGCCTGGGATGCTTAACAAAAATTAGTGCAAATCCAAGCTCAGAAATTTCTCTTCTTTGCCCTCAATGCTCAGCCTCAGGGAAGAGTTTGGAACCTTTCCTCTGAGTGTGATTACCAGGGACTCGTTAATTCAAACTTTACTCATTTCACAGTGAAGTGTTCAGCGTGGGCTGGGATTGAGCAGGAGTCTGGAAGGAGAGAGTCACCTTCCCAGGAAACATTCCATCTTGTCCTGAGAAAGCCAGATGGAGTGGGTGCTTCTCTAGGGCCTGCCTTCCTCTGTGGGTAACTGTGAGAGCCGAAATGACAGACTGACCCTGACCTTTCATTTCCAAATGGTGGGAGATGGGATGTAAATTTTCACACCTGCACAACCCCTGTATCTTGTAGTTTGCTCTGTATTTACACAGATTTATGTACAAGGGATAGCTTGGGGGTCCTTGCAAGGCAAACCTCACCAGTGCTGCTGTTATCATGTGTAATGCTGTTCTTCCATGCAAAACCAGGCAGCCTAAAGGCTGAGACTGCTGCAGGTAAAGTGATTTTGGCATCTGGGCAAGCCTTTTTTACACGTAAAGGAGGCACAGCTCATTCTTGCAGCTGTCAGCAGAGTGGAGCTGATCCAAAGTGATGGATTGTGCACATCTGGGGCCTGCCATACATCATTTTAATATTGCAGCATATTGCAGAAGGCTGTGGCCATAACAAGAGGAATTCTATAAACTGCGTGCTCTACACAGCTTTTGGCCTCAAAATATGAACATCAGCTCCATGGCTGGTGAGAGGCAGTGCTCTGAATGTCAGTGGGGTTTGTGTCTCAGTCTAGGTCTCCTTGCATGTTCAGTGGGTCAGGGAAGGCCTGAGACCCCTAGGATGTACTGAGGAAATAATTCCTTCCTGTTTCAAAGGCTCATGTCTGAGCAGAGAAATAATTCCTGTATGGATTCTGCAAATAAGTCATTAATCAGATATGAAAACAAAGTACAGGGCTAATCCTGAAAACTTCCTCTGTGGAGCTGGGTACTGTTACCTCCTGTCAGCTCCACAGGGATGTATTTGTGCCTTGCAGAATAGAGTCCTTGACACTAAAAGAATTACCATTCACAGGTAAGTGACAAGGAACAGAGAGCAGAGGAGGCTGAAATGCCTAAAAATGACTTTTCACGCCTTAAAGAGTTCAGAGTCTCAGGAAGAAGAGGACAAAGAGCAGAAAAGACTCTGCCTTCACTGCTCTCCCTGCTGTGTTAAACTGCTTTCCTCTCCAAACACTTACATTTCCCATTTCTGGGAAGGGCTTTAGTCTGTTCTGATGAATGGAGGTGAGAATGGAAACACAGATGGGTCTCCACTGAGCTATACAATCCCTTCAGCAAAGTATTGTGCTGAATAATAATAAATATTATAAATAAATAAAAAAAACCCAATAAAGTATTGTGGACATAGGGATCCAAACCCATGGCAAGATGTAGAGCTCCCAGTAAAACAAACCTGGATGTCTCAATTTCAATGTTTAATTTGTGCTTCCTCTACCAGCTTGCTCCCTGCAGACCTTCAATTCCTCTCCATGGGGAGCTGGATGTGTGGAATAATCTGTTTTTAATTTTTTTTAAGCCTGGAGGGAGTTAATGAAGGGAGACAGGCTCCTGTACAGACAGTCACTGTCCTCAAACAGGTGTTTGAGCAAAGCAGGAGGAATCCTTCCCTGGAACTGCTTGTCTGCTTTCACTGATCATTAAGGGAGGCTTGATGGGGGAATTTAGATTAATCATCTACAATTAACTGTCTAAAATTAGGAATCTGGTCTAAAGCTACTCATTGAACCTTCTTCAGTATTTCTGGGAAGAGATGGAAGCACTCCAAGAATACAGATCAATTAAATGAACTTGCTGTAGGATTTTGATTTCCAGGTTTCAGGACTTTGGATTAGATGACATGAATCCCACTGCAAAAAAATGATACCAAAAAGAATAAATTTCTCTTTAATTTACAGGGATACTTGCAATAGCAGAAAATGGGGATCCTCAGTTATTAGTGTTCTGTTATTCTTCAAGCAGTAATAATTAAATGCTCTATCCAATTTAGCAGAGCACTGATAAATTAATTTTTCTCAAGGTAATACTTATTACACAGCTTTCATAAAGAAAATAAATTAGTATGACTGTTTTGTCTCATAAAGAATACCTATGAGTGAATAAATATAATGATATACATGGATAAAAATGTATAGCAAGTGCTGTTCCCTGTAAGGTCATGCAGTTAAACACAGTCATATAAATACAGTCCAATCCACAGAGGAGCATTCAAGAATTGCTTCAATGTCTTGAAAACAATATTGAAAATATGTAAATATGCTCCTCTAAATGACTGTGAGGCAATCAGTGTCTCAGCTTCCCTTCTTCCACAGGTAATCGAGTTAGAGGCAGAAAACAAACACAGAAAATATCCTCTAGGTAGTCATTTTCAGCCAAAAAGACTCATGAAATAATCTATTTAACTGACTGAAGAGAAGGATTGGAAATGAGACTTTAGCTTGGGGGTTGGAAGCTTCTGGGATCAGGTGTCAGAGCTGGAGGCTGAGGACAGGCCTTTGTGTGAGAGCTGAATTCAGGGCTGGGCACTGGAGTTCTGTCACTGCTGGGGTCACCTGGTGCTTTCCAGAGCCCAAAGTGGCACACATGGCTTGGGGATGGTGGAAAAAACCTAGATGGATGAAACTGAGCTTGTAAGAGTTGAGCTGACTTTTTTTACTGCATAAGAAATCTTTATTTTTTTTTTTATAGTTTCTTGTTTTCTGATAGAGAACAACACTCTGCACATGGCATTATAAATATCCAAGAATTACTCATAGGCCATAGGGCTTGGACAGGAAGGTTTTTGGGCAGTTTCTGGGAATGTGGTATGAAATGCACAGGAGCTCATGGAGCTTGGGGTGGGCCCCAGATCCCTCCAAAGCACATGAAAATTGGCTTCAGTGTCCTGCACTCCCCAATCTCAAAGATATTTAATTAGCACTTGGCTTTTAAAGAAGGCATTCAGCAGATAAAAGGTTTAGATGAGACACATTCAACAGACTGGGAAGTTTATGATAAAGGCTGAGGTTTTCTTTGTCTATTATTCAAACTGTCTTCAACTTTTTTTTTTTTTTCATGAGACTTCCTCCATTCTAAAAGCCTTTCTTGCCCATCAAAATTTCACTGAAAAAAAATGTATGTATTTTAAAGCATATCCTGATTCTCCTGCCTGATGTCTTTGGCAATCCTGGCCAACTTTCAGGACTGACAGAACACGTCATTCCACACTTAAAAATGGGGATGCAGGAGTTGTCTTAGATGTGTTTTTCTGTATTCTGAAATACCAGGTGAGTTTTTAATCCTCCAATATAGGTTTCTCTGGGTCTGGATTGAAGGCACTTGAGATGGTAGCTTCATGTTTGGTCTCAGGTGTTTATTATTTCTTATCAGTCAAACAGTCTCACTACTGTGAGCTTGGCACCCCAGAGCAGACAGAGAAATATTCCCAGTGCTCTGGGTTTCCACACTCCAAGGCATGAGTCTGTATGTGACAGGAATGGCAGACAACTCTCTGTGAGGGAGAACTAAAATATTCAGGCATCAGAGTCATATCAGAGGAAGTGGGGAAGCACAGACAGAGGGAACTGGGAGTACAGGATTAATTTCAGAGCATATCTGAGATGGGATCTGAGTGAATGTAAGCTGAGGAGGCAGAGGCAGAAAGAACAGTGATGAATATTCTCAGTCAATGATTTATGTACTTGACGTAAAACCTATTTGTGAGGCTTTAGGATTGCAGGCCATGGGAAGCTGAAACAGACCACTGGAAAGAGCCTTCAAGTTCTTGAAGCCTTCTCATCTTGTCAATGAATTCAGCCAATTCTTCGAGCTTTGATTAATTTTCAAAAAAAGACTGAGTGTTACTGCTGGCTCTTTGATCCCCTGGAATTGCCTTTTCAAAGGTGAATAATATATTCAGTGCCCAGCTTTGAAGCACTTCCTAATTTTCAGAGAGCATAGAAAATGTCCCTACTTTTCCCCAAGTGTGCTAATGGACTTCTTAATGAGTGAAGATCTGTCTTTTGTGTGACATCTAAATTATGTTTTTTTTACCCCCACAGCAGCTTAGGGGCATCATTTTTGAATGGACTTTCAGGAAAGATTGCTTTTAATTAAATTGCACTACATGTGGCATGAGGATGTTGCTAGAAATACTCCTCCCAGGGCTTGCTAAATTTCCTGTTGTCCAACATAAGTGTATCAAAGCCCAAAGTGCCATTACTTTGATTTTTCTGTGCA